CACTTGGCTAATCCGAACACCTCCCAATTTGAACATTTTTTGGTCCCGTTTTTTCTCCCATTGACTCAAATGTTTAAAAAACTTGAAATATGAACATCTCCCAATTTTGACAGTGAACAGTCATGTTTGAAAATTAACCTATCTAATCTGAACACATAAAATATCACATGTTCCATAAATTAATCAAATATTTGAAAAAAACTTGAACGATCTCACTCATGGTGGGGCTTTCTAGGATGACTAAATTCATTTGAATCAGATTTTTATGTCACTCTAATGCCAAAGCTAAGTAGTCAAAAGAACTATAATATTTATTGAGAATTTGTTTCTATTTCTTCAAAAACCCAAATCTTGCAAATGCAAAACCTCAAAATGTGAACACCTCCTAATCCGAACGCTCTGAGCTGGTCCCTTGGATTAGACAGATTTTACTGTAGGTACAATCCCCTCTAAAAGTTACTGAAATCACTGGCTGGTAATTGGTGTTCGCTTACACACAGGTGTTCAATAGAGTATACTCATATGTTCGCTGGGCACAGTATTTCACTAATTAAAGAGATGTTCATTATGACAGTTTTACTGTACTGGGAATTGGTGTTCACTATACACAGGTGTTCAATAGAGTAGACGCATGTTTTCACTGGGCACAGATCTTCACTAAAGAGGTGTTCATTAGGATATTTTTACTGTACTGAACTCACTGGCTGGGACGGAATCGGTGTTCACTATAATATACACAGGTGTTCAATAGAGAATGGGCATGTCACTGGGCACAGATCTTCACTAAAGAGGTGTTCACTATGCGATTTACTGTACTGAAATCAATCACTGGGAATTCACTATATACAAAATTGAAATCTGTCTATCATGCCACTCCTGCAAAATAATTGACTTGCCCACTTGGTCTCTTGGATCCACTTGCAAAATATATATAGTAGATGTGAATATTTTCGAAACAAATGAGTGATATATACACATATTTTGTACCAAATGCGTGACATAAACGGCAATCGCGTGCAAAGACCGAACGGAATGCGTTCGCTTTTTTCGCCATTCGGTATTTTACCGTGTTGGCCAGGGGGGAGATTCCCCAAAGATGCCCTATCATATTAGCACGTTCGAAAACAAATTTTATAAACAGGCCTCAATTTGCCGTTGAAATGGATCTCCAAATTTTCACTGTAGTTTTATGAGTATTCTTTACAAGTATGGATCGAGTAACTTCAATAGTATTACCGTAGGTTTGAAATGACGATGTTGAACTGATGTAAACGCCATTCCCACGATTTCAAATTTAACTCTGCGCATGCGCAGCACTGAGAGAGCATGTGCCTATGATTGTTCACGTGATCGAATCCTGCAATTTGATTGGAGATGAAAAAAGCACTTGGTGAAAAATGTGTATACCCTCTGGGAGCCACCAGCATGCATTTTCTTGGTGTTGTATTCTCTAAACTACCCACTCGTTGGACAGAATGTTAGTACAAATGCACTCACCTTCGGTTCGTGCTTTGTACAACATTCTGTCCAACTCGTGCTGAATTTCACCATATTGAATGGCCTATCATTATTTATTCCTTAATTAGTGAATGCACTGTCATCTCCACGTGTAGATTATGCACATTATAATTAAATGCTTGCTTCCGTGTCCTAGTAGTTGTAGTGTATTCTAAACACGATCCTTTAAAGTGAGTCATGGTCCTTTCAAGTGAGTCATTACATAAACAAGTTGATTATTTCAAAGTTTTCATGATCAATATAAGTTCAATGAACTTACAAAATTGTATATAAACGTAGATGATAAACGTATACAGTTGGATCTACGTATAAAGCTTTACCTACATGTGTGTGGAACAATTGACCGCAAGCATTTTCTAAATTAATCGGCTGAGTAGGAACAGTATCCAATCAAATACTTTAACCATCAATTTGAAACACCAATCAAACCAGTAGGTTCTAGCAATTCCTGGAAACGACCCATTCAGTAGCTCAACAAATGACATACAGGGTGTTTCATAACGAGCATCTCCAAAAGGTCAATTTGAGAAGAGAGGGGTCTATATGTATGTACTATATATGAGCCTATTTTATTCTAGACAAACACATTTGGATCAACTAAACATGCTACAATTCAAGAAAGTACAAAAGGCATCCCTTTGACCTTTATTTATTACAGTCCGAGAAGATCTTTTCTGACGAAATACCCACATTATGAAACACCTTGTACGTCTTCTTATAAGTATAAGTATACGTTATAAGTTGTATTTTACGTATGTGCGAAATCTCTCTAGTGTGTCTTGCCTCTTACTGATAGGAAAAAGATGACTAAAAATTGAGAAAAATGAATATTCAAAAAGACTGCTTGTAAAAGTAAACCTTCGCAGTTCAGTAGAATCAGGAAATTCTCGTCATTTATTTTTTGGATTTATGTTAAACTTTCTATTCAAGATTTATCAGGTTTAAAAAGTAGAAGCATATCCCATAAGAGAAAAACTTAGGTTCTCCTTTGTACAAAGTTCATTAAATGCTCCCCTTTTTAAGTAATCGAAATGCCAGTAACATGATTTACAGTTCAATCAATATTTATAGTCATACTTTACAAAGTCACTTAGCCTATAACCTACAAAAGTAGCATTCGTGTTATGTCAATGTTGCCCTTTGTACTTTCAAAGAAAAATAACGTTTTTCATGGTTATATTCAGTATCCTGCATATACTAAGGAAAAACTTCTCAATATATTCAAACTGGTTTATCTTTAAAACAGTATAAACTTAGACAACGACAATTTTGTAAAAGATGGTGTGTGATGTTACGCGGAATATGGCATACATTCATGGCTGCGCGGTATTTGTGATACGGGTGAATATGCCTACTCACCTGCGGTATATGGCATGTTCTGCAGGTGAATATGCCATATTCCGCTGTGAATATGCGATACATTGATTTTAGTGAATACCAGATACTCAACTGCGGAATATGTCATACTCACTTGCGGAATATGCCATATACCGCAGGTGAATATGACATATACCGCAGATGAAAACATAATACAAAAAGCCTTGATTTGATTGGTTGTGAGAATTGACTCTAAACTACGCTGGATTACCAATAAAGTTAGTGCCTCGAGTACTAATATATGAATTCTGACCTGATTGAGTTTTTTTAGTAAGATCGGTGAGTGATACTCCCACATAAGTTGATAGATTCGATACACTGTACTGTTGATTCATAATTTATAAACGTTTATATGTTAATTCAATCGATGCAATTGACCATTGCGTACTTCCGTATCACGTTCTCATTGGATAGTGTGTAACCGCAGGTGAATCTGTCATACACCGCAAGTGAAAATGCCATATTCTTTGCGGAATATGACATACATGTATATATTTGTATCTTGTTTACTGCGTAACATGTGACTTTTAATTGACTAAAGCGTTAACATCAGCGGTCTAAATTAGCTCAAATTATTAATTTTATAAAACATTAACGATTTCTCTTCAATTTGATATGCATTATTATGAGATATCTTTGGGGGATAAAAGAGGCCCTTAATGACACTAGTCCTTTCAACGCACTTATGTTTATAACATATTGCTATACACATAAACATACATTAAGTTGAGCTTTCACTTATTAGCGGCATTTCTCTATTGTTCAGTACTGTTTATATGATTTTTAAAAGATTCGAGAAAGGTTGAAGAATCTCATTAATAATGCTAGAGTATGACGGTTTCCTTAATGACCTTGGAATACCACGTTGATAATATTTTGTGACATTGTGACTTGTTGAATATAGCTTGACAACATTTAATAGTCAGCGATGATGATAATTTGTGTTTAAAATCGTGAATATTTTTTTAAACAGTCTAATGGGACAATAAAAATATACATCCTCTCATTATTCTCTTTCATTCAGGTTCAATATTTCTTCTATTGTAATGAGGATATATTGGAACGAATACTCCAATTATCACGTGTACTTTCATTGCACTTAATAATAATGAAATATTCAGATCTATATAATTCAACAGGCCTCCATACCACAATCAAGACCCCTTGGGATTTTTTGCAAATAATGAAAATAACGCGAAATGTACGATCTATATAATTAAGCCACTACAAATTATATCAGTTGTATCTATCTGATATTTCAAAAACCGGATACATTTCCACTTTTAATTAACATTAAAGGATTATTGGAAATTATAGTCGTTTGCCATATTTTTAAATTGGATATCAAAGTGTGGTCACCTGCCAGTAGTTTTTGAACCAAAACTGATGAACAAACAATTTATTCTTAGGATGTATTCAGATCAATGAGTGTGTTTCCTGATGACAAAGTACTTTAAATATAAAGTCATGTTAATGAGAGCTCTATGCGTCATAATTACGGAAACGTATTTATTGGATGGAAATGATATCTATTTTGGAATCACTCAAGAGATTTTGAGACTCCATTGCAATATCGGAATTATCAGACGAGTCTGCTTTAAAGATACACAGGCGTATTTATTGGATGGAAATGCTATCTATTTTGAAATCACATATAGAGATTTTTAGACTCCATTGCAATATCGGCGGAATTATCAGACGAGTCAGCTTTAGAGATACACAGGCGTATTTATTTATATATTGGAGACTCAATTGTCATTTAAGAGTATAAAACTTTGGTATTCCAAAAATCAGTTATGAATGGAACTGGCGATTTGGACCCATCGATGTTTGAAGGTTTGGGAGACAAAGTGCTACAGTTTTTCGGGATGACTATTCTCATAGTGGGCTGTTTATTTGGGAATATATTTATGTGTGTCGTCATTTACAACAACAAAACGCTCCACAACATCCCAAATATGTTGGTTTTCAGCCTCGGGATAACAGATCTTTGTACTGGACTGATCAACAGTCCACTCAGCTTGGCGTTGGCCATATCAGACGGGAACGCATTCGGCAATCATTTCTGCGAATGGAATGGCGTGTCTATTATGATCCCCACACAATGCACAATGCTACATATGTGCTTCATGGCCATTAATAGGTATGTTATGATATGTCATCCCATGAAATATCGGAGCTATTTTACAAAGAGGGGTGTTGTCGTTTCAATTGGAATAATCTGGAGTATTTCTTTGTTCATGGCCCTTTTACCAGTTATGGGCTGGGGGTCGTATAAGATGTACCATACATTTGGCTGTTGTCTCCCTAACTTTCTACAGGACCTCGATTTCACAATCACGAACCTCGTTCTGATCACTATCATCCCAACGAATATCATGGTTTTCTGTTACGTCATGGTATTCAAAACAGTCCGAAACTCAAAAAGGAAAATCGCAATTGCATTGGAAAATAATGAACACAAGGCATCAAACGCTCGCAAAAATGATAAAAACAAGAGGAAAGAAATGAATATAACAAAAGTGGTACTAATGATAATGGTGTCATATTTTGTGTGCTATTCACCATTTTTGATCCTATTTACAATAAACGACATATTTGGTATATATATTCCTTATTTGGCAGGGAAAATGTCATCCCTCTTTGTTGTAGGCAGTAGTACCTGCAATCCGTTCATTCTCTATCTCCTCAGTTCGGAGTTAAGAAGGCGTATATAGCCATGTTACCAATGGCTTGTCAGAGGAAGCTCAGTTCATTAAATGAACATGGCGAGGATGAATCCGTAACTGAAAGAACACAAGTTGAGAGGATATGATTTAAGTATCGTGATGATGATGATTTCAATGCCCTGTCCACGCAAAGGATATGGAAATACCAGGTCGTTCAATAAGTTCACGGAAAAAAGCTCTCATTTTAGATATTTTCTCATGAGATTTTCACACAATGCATAAGAAGTATTTTCTGATTGATTCTTAAAATCTCAGCATCTCTTATTTGATTTGTCAAAAATAAGGGTTACTATGGTAACTTGACATTTGGGTAGGCGGGGCATTTTTACGTCACATTTTTCATTGGAAAAACAACAGAATAGTAGGCAATTTATAAGTACACTGTTGCTCATAAATATGGAATATTAGATTTTGCAGCTCAGAATTCAAAGTTTGGAGTAAGAGAACATTTATTTGGAGTTGGCTCAGACATTTATTTTCTAGGCAAATCATAACCACATATTTCACCTACAAATCAACATTTTTTAGAGAAAAAATATTAACATTTAAGTTTAGAAAATTACTGCTACTTAAACAGGGGTACGCTAAGAATTTTTGCATTTTCAAAACACCCCGATCCAAATCGTCATGTAAAACAGGTCAAACAAAATAAACATCTGGTCATGAAGATTGAAGTGTCCTCTATCCAATGATAGCACTAATATGTGTTATGTCCTCTTTGTGCTGCAATCAGAGCATCAACTCTACGGGACCAGCATTGAATGAAACATCTGACCTTTCGAAGTGAAATAAGGCCCCATTTCTCAATCTGGGCAGTGCGTAACGTGTCTAAATTTTGAGGTGGGGGTCCAAGTCACGAATCTCATTACCAAGGTCGTCCCACATTTGCTCTGCATTAGCCTGATTGGGTGACTTTTGTGTCCATAGTAGCTGGTCCACATTGCCTGCCCTGATGTAATCCAGCAGGATGCCTCTAGCATATGCAACAGCATGATCATTCTGCAGTTGAATGTTGCCCCAAAACACTCTGTTTACATGTGGTACTTGATGGAGGTCCAAAAGGTCAATTTACTCTAAAATTATGTTTGGGAATCACCAAGGGGTGCAATTTCTGTAGTACTGCTCCAAACAACCTCTGTAATACTGCTCCAAACATAAATAGGTTCGCCTTCATGGACTGCCACATCAGTAAGTGTCCTTATTGTCTCTTTCCCCTGGTCTACGACAGAAACGAACACAATTATCCACTTTGTGGAGGACACATCTTATTTCTTCACATGCTGTCATATGACACCAAAGATTAGGTCCAATGTTTTGGTGCTTTCCTGCCCATTGAAGGCACCTTTCTTTGTTATGATCAGTCAGCTGTGGTCTCTTTAGAGGTCTCATGGCCTTGCATCCGTTATAACTAAATCACTGGTTGTCTATAGCTCTGGAACACAGGTTTTGAAGTGAGACAGCCATCCATCTCCTAGACTACTGGTTGACTTAAAGCGATTTTGATGACATAAATGCAGCAGGTGGTGGTCTTTTCTTACATTTTTCTCTCTAGGACTACTATTTCTGTGACCTGGAGTCATATTCCAGTGCTTTTGGTACCACTGCAAAATTTTAGGGACTGTTCCTGACACACCCCTAGGGTCCTGGCAATGGCAGTTTGTTTCATGCCAGAGAGCGCCATCCCTATGACCTGCCATGCTATTTTTCGCTTATTCTATGGGGCATGCCTTCTAAAAACTCTTCCAACTCTAAATTAATTTTTTACGAAATGTGCACAATGATTACAACTAAGATTTGGAGACCTCTTTCAAGTTACCAATATCATGAGGTCATTGGGTCACCTAAGTGAATACAAGTTTAATCAACCATAAATGTTTTAACATTTCATACCAATCAGTTTTATATGCAAAACCGATGAGGGAATGAGAACACATTACAAATTTTCATCAAAATGTTATCATTTTGTAGAAATTCCATCGAACAGTTCGTATCTATAAAATATTCCATATTTATGAGCAACAGTGTATATCACAAAAATTTCTTCCCCGCCTTCCACTGCACCTGTTGATGTTAATATTGTCCAAAATCAAATCAAGAACTTAAAGAACTCAGCTGCAGCTATGGATGATATTAAACCAAAGGTTGTTAAAGTATTACAAGATCATATTGCTGATCCTCTTACTTTCGTTTATAACCTCTCTATGACCAAGGCGTATTTTTCCTGGAGAACTTAAACTTGCTAAAGTTATTCCAATTTTCAAAAAGGGGGAACATGATAAATTCACAAACTACAGTATAGTCCAATATCTATCTTAAGTGTATTTGCTAAATGTTTGAAAAAATAATGCATGACAAAGTATCTACATTTTTAGAGAAATATGAATTATTGTATTTACACCAGTACGGCTTTCGAAAACGTCTAGAATTTATTGAAAATTTCAGACATTCATTGGATAACAAAGAATATTGTATCGGAATATATTTGGATCTATCAAAAGCTTTTGATACTGTTAATCTTGCAATATTACTGAACAATGGAACATTATGGTATAAGAGGAATTACATTTACATGGTTTTCATCTTATTAATCAAATCGAAAAATGTTAACTGAATATTCTAAAAGTTTATCTGAGAAGTATTTGTCTGAAGAAGCAATTGTTAACTGTGCAGTACCCCAAGGGTATGTTCTTGGCCCTCTCTTATTTATCATATTTGTAAATGATTTCTATTTAGTTTCTGATAAACTCAAACTGGTGATTTATGTGGATGACACTAATACTATGTAGAGATTCCAATCTTGATAATTTGACCACAACCGTAAATTCTGAGCTGTGTGACATCAATGATTGGTTGTTGGCCAATAAACTCACTTTAAATGTTAAGATAACAAAATATATGGTATTTGAATATAAAGAATTATATCTGTGAAAAATGAAATAAAAATTGCAAATTCTAACCTAGAAAAAGTAGATGAGATAGGATTTCTGGGAGTAATTATTGATTTAAAATTATCTTGGGCTCCCCATATCAATGCTCTTCATAGGGAAGTTTAAAATGTAATAGGTATGTTATAACGAGCAAATTATGCTCATACTTTAAAATCAAAGATGATTATATATAACTCTCTGATTTTTTCTTATCTTAATAACTGTAATATTTTATGGGGAAATGCTTGTAAGAATCTATTAAATAAAATACTGATATTGCAAAAGAAATTTGTTAGATTAATAAACTAATTCAGATAGATTAGCTCACACATTCCCAATTATTCAAGATCTTAAAATACTTAATATTTATCATATTCACACAATCCAAACTGTTTTTTTCATGAAAAAAATCAAAAGCAAATCTATACAGTTCCATTCAAAATTAAACGATCATTATTTTAAAACTAAAGCAAATATACATCAACGTATAACTAGATATAGTCATAACTTGGATATTCCTAAACATAGAACCAGAATTGGTGAAGATTATATTAAAGTCCATGGTTCATATATATGGAATTTCATCAATGAAGATTTAAAAAATAAACCATTAAATTCACTCATATCTCTTTTGAAAACTGACCTCCTGAGTATAAAATAATCAAAACATTTTATTTTATTTCTTTATTGTCTCATATTATTGTTTTTGTATATTGTATTCATATTATATTATTATATTCATGTATGTACCACTTTAAATGTTCACAGTTAATCATGTTTATTGTAAATTTAATTATGAGCAGTTATACATCCCCTGTGTTGTCAAAGCCCGTATATACAATAATGTTGTAAATTTTGTAATGAAAACTGAAATAAATTATTTTGAAATTGAAATTATTTTGAAATTGACGTGTACATGATATTACTTAATGTAATAATAGTAACAACTATTGTCCCATAAGGTTTTAGAAATATTCTCCCTCGTGTTTAATGCACAGTATGTTGAATTCAACCCATTGACGAGACAGTGCTCTCTAAAGCCATCTTGAAAACGTGTTTAAAGGGCAGTCTGGACTTCAGTCGAAAGTAGTTTCATTGTTTCCTAAAGTGCACCTCTTACCTGATCCTTCATCCTAGTCTTGAGAGTATGTATCTTGGGGCAGCTTTACCATCTATTTTGCCAGTTATTTGTGATGCTTTCCTGCACAATTTTAGCAGTGTGATTGGCTGCATTATCCTGATGGAAAAATGTTATGGGAAAATATCAAGAATCTTTGAAATGAGAGCATTTTTCCGTGCACTTATTGAACGACCTGGTAAGTCATACAACATGGATAAATCGTGATTGTTGATGATGTCATGATGTAGCTTTTTATAGGGGTGATTTTTAGTTAATAATTCTTATTGACAATGATGCCCTCTATACATATTACGGATAATCAAGAGTCTAAATGAGATAAATAACACCATATTCCGTGACGGTAGTGCTAGTCATTTACATGCCACTGCGGTGTGCAAATCAATGATCTCAGGTTCCGCCGTAAGGTGGCAATTTACTTCAGTTAATTCATGTCCCATGCTCATATCACGTTATTGGGAACTTTAGAGAACCTGGTTGGTTGCATTGAGAATATGTTAATAAACCTGTGTTGTTTTTTGTGAAGTATAGAACACATGGATCAAGGACGAACGTTTTTCAAGTATACGGAAGTAGATCCCTTTACCAAAGGGTTAGAAATTTAATTTGTCCACTATCTTATTGGCAATATTTTTATTTTACGTTTTTATGAAGGTAGTCTAAAATGAATGACCAATATCTTATCTATATGACGTTTGATGTATAATTCTTTTGAAAACAATTTCAATAATAATCTTCCATAATTTGAAGTATCAAATTATAAATATTATTTTCAAATGTATTGCCTCTTTTATTCCATATATAATCTATAAAAATACAATACAATATTATTGCCTACATTTTTCAACATTGTTGGCAATATACAAAACATATCAAACTGGAAATAATGGAAATACACTCCCCTCCATAAGTTTGGCAACCTTTTTCCCCCATTGAACTACGTGTTAAAGCCTCTTTACGTTTGACTTTTTATTTACTTAACCTGCGATGAAAGTACTTATACTATTGATGGAAACGTAATTTGACTTTAATTCCAATACTTCCAAATTTTTCTCAGTTTTTTTCCTCAATTACAATAGGTCGAAAATTGATGATGAATTTGATGAATTTTTGAAAATCGACATTCCCATGTTAACCAATGGTAAATGGTAGGTTTGCCGCAAGTCATATGACAGAATATCCAT